GTGCTGTATAGTAGGTTCTAAGTACCCCATCATTGAGTAGGTCACCATAATGGATGTGTTAAATCTGAATAAATTATAAAATACAATAATGATTATGTCTAGAATATGCTGGTATAAATATTTGTTAAAAATGTAAAATTGTTGTCTTAAACTCGTGATAGTTATTTGTTTTTAATTAAAAATATTTTTTTTTGAAATTTGCCATTGCATGATTACATACTCCTGTTATTCCTCTGATTTGTTAATTATTATAAAAATGACTTAGAATCTATTATTTGAGTATTTGAACCCTCATTTCACAACAACAAAAATACTAACTAGATTTAGCCTACTATCAGAAAACACCCTCAAACTTGAAGATTCAAGCATTTGCTCCAAATGTGAAGGTGAACACAAACAAATAATAATAAAAACAGGTGTATTATCATTGTAAGATAAATAAATTTACTGTTGTGCTGGAAATTTAAAATATGAGTGTTCAACTAATAACATAAAAAATTTAAAAAACATGTCACTGTGATTATAGTATTTTAGAGTTGCATCTTATAGTTATAGATTATTATCTTGTTATTGATTTCAAATAGAATATTATTTAGTATTTATTATTATTTACTTTTCTTTAATTATTAAACATTAATGTATACTATACACTTAAGTTAAGAACAGTTTTTTTATTTTTTATAGTCCAACACTTGTAAATTACTAAAAAAAAACATGAATAATATGAGAGTTTATTACTGTACTTAGCTTTTAGAGTACATTTTTTTTATAAATTCACTATTATTAATTATTTGTTCTTTCTAGATTCTAAGTCAAAAGATCGGTCAAGGAAAGAAGATTCGAAAAGAGTTGACAAAAAACGTTCAAGAACACCAAGCAAAGATAGATCAAGCAAGGACAGTTCATTAAAGAAAAGATCAAAAACTGTATGCTCATAATTGAGAAATAGATTATTATTTTATACTACTGTATTACTTGTAAACTTGAATATTTATTAATTTTATTAGATTGATAAAGAAAAGGAATCCAAAAAACTTAGAGAACTTGATAAGTTTTGGCAAACTGTGCGTGATGATCCATCTGACTTCATTGGTTGGACCTACTTATTACAATATGTTGATGGAGCGGTACATTTATAAAGTTTATCATATTTTTATTTAATCAAGTTACTTGTATAATTTCGATTAATTATTTTTATTGTCTTCAGAAAAATATTGAAGCAGCACGTGAAGCTTATGATGCCTTTTTAGATTTATATCCATACTGTTATGGTTATTGGAGGAAATATGCTGACTATGAAAGAAAAAATGGAACTAAAGAAAACTGCGAAAAAGTGAGTTAATATTTTTATTTTATGAATTGAAACAGACAATTCCATATTTATTTCTTAAATTAAATCCAAAAATAAATAACTGCAATGGTTGTAGAATTGTATACACATGTTTGGGAGTAGTGTGGGATACATAATTAAATTTAAATTATTGTTCCCATCAGTATTATTACTGACAGTTATACAACATTATTATTTTGAATAATTTTAAATTATTCTTTTTTTTTACCTGTTTGTGTTGTGATTGATAATACCGTTAAGAATAAATAAAAAATACCAATTAGAAGAAGAATTATTGTAAATTTATGTAAACTGTTATTTTAAACTGTTAAATTATTTTATAGTTTTATGGTTGATAACATGTTTTAATAATATATATTATATAAGATATAGTAATAAGTAAATATATGAAACTTGATTGTTAAAAAGTAATTATTACAAATTACAATGATTCACAATGTATAAAAGTATTTATTAATTTGTTGTAATGTGAAGATTGTACTGTCGTTTATTTGTGGCAACCATCATAAAGAGAGAAGTATTCAAGATGCTCAAGCATTTATTATTATGACCATAGATTGTTGTTGGTAGCTTATAATTTTATTACTAACATTATAAATGTTTGAATTTTTACTATCAATATTTCAAATGTTTTAATTTTATTATAATAATTACTGTTCAAAACACAAACGACTGTTTACTAAAAAAATTATATTCTTCCTAAAGTTATTTATTATTACTGTGATTGTTATTTTATAAACTATATTTTCGACTAACCACTGAGCATTGTAATAGTTATTCAGTTTGTGTTTTAATTTAAATGTATTTATAATAAAATAAGTTATTAAGTTATATATTACAATTAAGTATGTCTTCTGATGTGAAGACAAAGATGCAATTATGTTTATCATGGATTTATGGATACATCTTAATATTAGTCTCAAGTGTTATTTTCAAAAAACTCAACATCATTCAAACCTTCATCATGTGTCATCCAAACCAAGCTTACAGTTTTTAACATACTTTTAGTTTTTAAACATTTTACTTAAAAAAATGCAAAAATGATATTTGTTTTTTTTTTTATTACTATTGTTAATATTTTTTATGATACTTAAAAATATCTCAACTTTTCAGGTGTTGTGATTGATTTTATCCTTTGCCCAAAATATATTTCCCTCTTAGTAAAAATTTTTCAAGGTTTTCTTTATAACTATTTAACATGATTTTAGTCTAGATATTTTTCATCAGGTTGCTGCTGGATAAAGCACAAAACACTGCACGCTCCACCGTGGCCCAAAAAAGCACGAATTTCACTATAAAGCGTGAAAATTATGTTTATTTGATTCTTAAATATCATTAATTTGTATACTGTATTTGTTAATTAAATAACATGGCGTGGTTTAAAAAATTTATTAGGTGTAATACAAATAATTATGTTTTAAGTTTTTGTAATTATATTACAATTAAGTAATTAAGATGAATCATTGTTATTATTATTAGGTTACTATTTTAGTTATTATATTTTTTTTTTTTTATTAATTAAGTTGAGTATTTGTTAAATTTAATTTAATGATAAGAAAACATAATGCGGCATTGCGACACACGCCAAGAGCTGTTTTGGATATATTTTGGGTAAGCGGTGATTTATAAAACTAGTCATAAGGTTATTTGTAAATGTATTAGATTTAAATCCTTTTGTTAAAGGCATGATTATATAATATTTAAGTGAACTTAAAATTATTAATATTTTATTTAGTTTATATAATTTATTTGTTTTAAATTGTGCACAGGTATTTGATCGTGGATTAAAAGCTATACCATTGAGTGTTGACCTATGGATTCATTATATGGGTTATATGAAATCAGCTTATCCAGATGATGAAGACATGATAAGGGAACAATTTGAAAGGGCAGTAGAAGCTTGTGGAATTGAATTTAGGTAAATATATTTTTAAATCAACTTGAAATGATTGTACTAATGGTAGAAATTAAATTTTTTAAGATCGGATCGATTATGGGATCATTACATTAAGTTTGAATTGGAATGCAAACAATATTCAAAAGTTACAGAAATATATGAACGTCTAATTGCTACTCCTACTCATGGATTTTTAAATAATTTTGAATGGTAATATTAATACAGCATATGAAATTTATAAATATATTTTTTATTTTATTTTATTTTTTAGTTTCAAAGACTATGTTAAAAAGTATCCTAAAAATAAAATATTGGAGGCTGTTAAATTTTTGGAGTTAAGAAAAGAAGTATTAGCCGAGATTAAAGAAGCTGACGCTAAAAAAACCCACGGTAGAAAAATAGATTCTGGTTCCGACTCTGACGACATGGCAGATCCTATGGAACAAGTAATCTATGAAATTAATCATGTCTTTAAAATGAGTAATTTTATATGTTTGTTACACTTTTTTAGCGCACCAAGGAAGAAAATTTAATGAAAGAGAAGATGATTGCATCACGTATTGCAATACATAAGCACACAGCAGAAATGGTTGCATTACGATTACCCTATGAAGAAATGGTCAGTTCTAGACTTTGTTTACTTAACTTTATTGAGCACTTTTTTAATTTTTTTTATGTTTTAGATTAAGCGGCCATATTTTCACGTAAAACCTTTAGAAAGATCTCAAATTAGAAACTGGAAAGAATATTTGGAATTTGAAATTGGTCATGGTTCATACAGACGCATTGTGGTGTTATTTGAAAGGTGTTTAATTGCTTGTGCTCTTTATGAAGAATTTTGGACTAAGGTAATAATTATTATAAGATAGACTAATTTCCATTTGAAAATATTAATTAATGATTTTCCGTATAGTATGTAAGTTATTTAGAGAGTCTTGAATCTGATGACCACGAAGTTAAAAACCGTATTGAGGACATATACATTAGAGCATGTACTGTTCACCATAAAAATAAGCCTGGTATTAACTTAACGTGGGCTCTACATTTAGAAAATAATGGTAACTCATTTTTTTTTTAGTACTATCCTGTTTTATAAACGTCTTAAATTTCATATTTTTTTTTTTTAAACAAATATTATTTCTTTAGGGCAATACGATAAGGCTGCTCAAATTCTAGATATGTTAGACAGTGTATCTCCTGACAAAAAGTTAATAATCCAAAGAAGGATTAATTTGGAAAGACGAAGAAATTGTAATGATAGAGTATGCGAATTATATGAACATTACATAAGTACAGCAAACTCTTCATTAACTTCTATCCTGTTGACAGTTAAATATGCTCGATTTGTTTGGAAAGTAAGAATAAACAAACACAACCTTATGATGTACAATAAGCAATATTCATTTAAATATTACCATTTTAGATGTTACACAACACTGATCGAGCTTCTGAAATTTTACTGGCTGAAGTAGAGAAAATAAATGTTAGTATATTAATTATTGAATATTAATTCGTTTATAAAACATTTTTTTCATCGTGTTATAGAATGTTCAAAAAAGTAGTCGTTTGCTGTTACAATTAATTGAAATCAAAATGAGCGACAATCCTATGAATATTTCTGCTGTAGTCAAACTGATCGATAGTATCTTAACCATGAAGTCCATTGAAATTGAACAACAAGTTATTTTTGCTCAACGCAAAGTTGAATTCCTAGAAGAATTTGGCAAGGATATACTTTTGTAAGTATTAGAAAACTCATTAAATTATATGCCAAGACAAAGATTAGATACAAGGGTAGGTTAGTAGCATAAAAAATTAATTTTAATTATTAAACATCTCAATAATAAAAATAAAATCTTCTAATCAGAGGAGATAGGCACTTTGTTTTAACATACCATATTATATAGAAATTAATTGATAATCAATTAAATATATTTATTTAACCTTTGTTAGAGGTTACATAGATGTATAAAATGATCACTGTACCTTTATTTATGTTATCATTTTGAAATTAAACGCATCCAAATACCTAATGTGTTGTAATATTAAAATAAAAAAAAAATATTGAAACTGCTAACCTTTAAAAAAAATTACAAAACATTGGTTGTAAATATTGACCTAAGGTATAGTTTTTTTAATTTTGATGAACCAAACTAGGTTATGTAATGATAAGAAACTTCCTTTATATGAAAAAAAAAACCATTATCACTAATCAGTATTAAGTGGTCGGTTTATGGTGTTTTAAAATTTTCACTTTTTCCTATATTACCAAGTTGTGTCAACATGCCTATGAAAAGTTATATATCATACTCTAGCGAATCACATTTTCCAATTGAAAATTTACCATATGGTGTATTCTCAACTGCCGACAATTCAACACATCGCATAGGAGTTGCTATTGGTGATAAAATTCTGGATTTAAAATACTCCAAAAATGTTTTTGACCATCCTTTATATGAAGTATTTCAACAGCCATCGCTTCAAAGTTTAATGGCTTCAAGTAAAAACACATGGTCCCAAGCTCGTAAGTCAATTCAATCTTACTTAAGCATTGAAAATTCTGAGAATTTGAATAACGGAGTATTTTGGAATCAAAATGAAGTTGAAATGCATTTGCCTACTACAATAGGTAATTTTACTGATTTTTTTTCATCATATTATCATGCTTACAATTGCGGTTCCCTCTTTGCACCTGATAAACCTATAGCAGATAATTGGAAAAATATGCCAATTGCATATCATAGTCGATCATCATCAATTAGAATATCAGGTACGCCAGTTGTTCGACCAAATGGGCAGTATTTAAAAGACGGACAAGTAAAATTTGGTCCCACAGAAATGTTAGACTATGAACTAGAAGTGGCATTTTTTGTGGGTGGTTCATTGAATTCTTTGGGTGAACCGATACCGATTAACAAAGCTTGTGATCACATATTTGGTATGGTTTTATTGAACGATTGGAGCGCCAGAGACACACAGAAATGGGAATCATATTTTCTTGGACCATTCCTTTCAAAAAATTGTATTACAACTATTTCACCCTGGATAGTGACAATGGAAGCTTTAGAAGAATTTAAAACAGACAACTTTAAACAAGATCCAACTCCTTTGAAGTATTTACTACACGACATTAAATACAATTTTGACATAAATTTAAACGCAAGTGTCCGTGGTCAAAAATCGCAGCTAACTCATTCCATCTGTAACACCAACTATAAGTATATGTACTGGACTCCTTTACAACAAATCGCTCATCATACTATTAATGGCTGCAATTTACAACCAGGCGATTTATTATCATCTGGAACAGTTAGTGGTCCAGAAGAGGAACAGTGTGCGTGTTTGACAGAGAGAACTCGTGGAGGGAAAATATTTGTAGACCTGGGTGAAAGAAAGTTGAAATTTTTTGAAGATGGAGACGAAGTAACATTATCAGGATTTTGTCAAGGAAATGGATACAGAGTTGGTTTTGGCAACTGTAGCAGCCAAATTCTTCCAGCAAAAAACTTAGCATAAATTATAAAATTATATCCTACATGTATTTGGTATTTTTTATTGATTCTAAGTTTGAAAAATGTTTTAGCTGGTGTATTTAAAAAAAAAAAATATTTTAAGATTTTTTTTTATATCATAAGAATATATACTTTTTTATGAAGTTAAATTTAGAATGCAATATATTTTTCTAAACGAATGAAAGAGTGTCTGTTTTTATTAATCTATTTTTAAATAATTCATGACAAGGTACTAAGGATAATATGAAAATATAACTATTAACGAGCCAGTGGAGAAACTGAAACATCCACTGGATATTGCAATTTGCATATTATCAAACTCCTGCACAATTGTTCCATATTAGTCCCCCTAAATCATTTTATTTAAAATTAATATTAATAAATTATAATTCACTGTTTTAGGATAAACAAAGCGACAGCAGAGTTAAAAAGATATATGAAAACATACAATGAAAGTGAAAAAAAAACAGAAATGATAGATACTCCTTGCAGTGGTAAGACATAATTTGTTTCATGTTAACCATTTGTTTTTAATACGTTTATTATATTATAAACTCTTTATGAATGTAAATATCCATGTTTAAATATTATTTTAAAAATTTGATGATGTTTATTAGAGTTTGTCATTATTTTGTAACTAAGTCTTAGTCTTTTAAAACATTTTTATATGTATTATGAATATATTGACATTAAAAAAAATTGAACTCCTTGAGTTTTGTGTGTGTGGGAAATCCAAGCAATTATTAATCAAGATGACACAGAAAATAAAATATTAGTTACGGATTAATTAATTGTTATTACTTTACATTTTGTTATTTATAAAAACTATTCTACAATAAAATGCATTTAACTATTTTATGACTTTACTAATCTTTTTTTTATAAATTTATTTATAAATTACTAAAAATTGTAAATAATATAAAAGTAATTAATAAAAATACAATGTATAATTTTTTTGATTTTTATTAAGAAGAATACTGTTAAAATTAAAATAACAACTGACATACATAATATTAATCTACTTAATATAACCACCAAATTTATCTGAAAAATATCCAAATCTGATTTCGCAGTCAGTAGTTGGTTCAAGCATTATCAATGAGTCATCTTCCAATCCCTTTACATCAGCTGTAAAACAATATTTTAATTGATTACAATTATGACACAACATTATTTTAATACGTTATAAAACAAGTATATTAAAAAAATTGAAACTATATTACATATAGTATCATATAAATTCACTCGATCGTATCATATAATAGAAAATTATAGTAACAATATTTCTTATAAAAAAATAATGAATGTATTATATAAATATGTGACATGTAGTAATTAAAGCATATTTTAAAAATATTCTCAATGCACAGACAATATAAAACGGCCTCTAACATATTCCGTAAACGAACCTTTGATCTTTAAATTATTGAAATTGATTCAGTAATTAATTTTTACTTACAAAACACCAAGTTATGATTCAATGGTGATGGGTTGGAAAAAAATGAAGGTCTGCATATATTTTTTATGTGAATCATTTTAACACACTTCATAGCCTCAAGTATCTATTAAATACAAAACATATTTAAATATTTATAAATTATATCTAGTATCTAATAAATAGTAAAATGCACTGTACAGTATACATACATCTACAAGTTCCCTAACGACCATTGGCTGTAAGATGGTACAATAATCTTTTTTCAGGGTTTTCAGGTAAATGCCAGGTTTGACAATTATTTTTGTTAGAACAGAGTTCAAAAACTTCTCCATAAGTTCTTTGTTGATAGTTAAATTCAATCGGGTCCATGGGCGGATTATTATGTGATCGAAGGTTTGAGTGTTTGTTCTAAAAAATGTTGTATTTGATAGTAAGTAAGCAAAAAGAATGATTGTCAGAACATGAGTACTACTTACTCTGTTGGATGTTCTTCACGTATCCTTTTGATCGGCGGGAGTATTGAGTCTGTATTTTCAGAATCTGACCTAAAAATTATTAAATATAATTTATTGATTTTATTTAGATGTAAAAAAAATATGACTCACTCTTTTTTTTTTAATGCAATATTTACAATCTATACAACAAGTAGTACAATAAGTAAATTTGATAAAGTAGTATAATACATAACTTGATGACTTGAGGGGGGGAAACCTTCCATCAACAGTACCTCCTAATAATGGTGGGTTCTCAATGGAGACCTTTTTTTTTATTTTTTATTTTTTTATTATTGTGTTAGACAAGAGCGTCTTTTGGCCATTTTCTTTTTAACCTTCTAGGAGGGTTGCTGGGGATGGTCAAAGAGGACATACGAGAAATAAGAGGGTTTTGGTTTAGGTGTAGTTTGGAGTGAAACTTTTTGTAATGACGAGTTGCTAATTCATTGACAGTTGAGATTTGTCGTTCCTTATGTAGTGAGTTGTTAGTCATATACCAGGGGGCTCCAGTTATTTGTCTAAGACATATGGATTGAAACGCTTGTAAGGGTCTTATATTGGATGGTTTGGCTTGGCCCCAGATTTGGATTCCATATGACCAAAGGGGGGTAATAATTGTCTTGTATATTAATATTTTGTTTTTTAAACACATTGAAGGAGACAATAATGGGCGGAGGAGATGTAGGCGGGTGTTTGATTGTTTTCTTTTCTGTTTAGTGTGTTGGGCCCAGGTAAGTCTTTTGTTTAAATGAACTCCTAGGTATTTGGTTACATTTTGGATAGGGATTGGAACATTATTGAGCAATAGTTGTGGACATTCTTTTTTGCTAAGAGAAAAATTTATTTGGACTGATTTGTTTTCGTTTATTTTAATTTTGACCAATTGGAAATTAGATTTAGATGAAATTGTATATCATGGGCGGCTATGTTGGGGTCTTTGTTTGATGCTAGTATAGTGGTATCGTCAGCATATGTTGCTAGAGTTGTACGGTTTGTTTTGGGTTTATCGGATGTGTAAATGTTATATAGTATAGGTGATAGGTCACTTCCCTGTGGTACTTCCGCTTTAATTTTATGATAAGGAGAGTAAGAATTGTTATGTTTAACAGTGAAATAACGGTCTTCTAGATAAGATTTTATAATGAGAAAATATGGAGCAGGTAGAAACAATTTTAGTTTGAACAATAGTCCGTCATGCCATACACGATCGAATGCTTGCGCAATATCGAGGAATACACCTGGGCAGTGTTCTTTTTTTTCGAACAATGATGATATTTTATCGAACAATGATAATATTTTATCGGTGATTCTGTGTATTTGGTGGATTGTTGAATGATATGAACGGAATCCAAATTGGGTGTTTGGGATGATATTATTTTCTTTAATAATAGGGGTTATTCTTTTAAGTAATAATTTTTCGAAAAGTTTCCCTAACGTTGGTAATAAACTTATCGGTCGGTATGAGGTTACTAATTGCTTTGGTTTTTCTGGTTTAGCAATTAATATTATTGTTGAGAATTTCCATATTGGGAGAATGTATGATAACCTGAGCATTGTGTTGTATATGTGAGTGAGAAGAAGTATGGTTTTGTTTGTTAATTTTTTAAGTATTTTGTTATTAATTTGATCGTACCCTGGAGATTTATTGTTGTGTAGTTTAGTGATATATGATTTTATTTCATTTGGTGTAGTTCGTTTGGCTGGTAGTGACATAGGTAGTGAACTGTTAAGAAAAGTTTGAACATTTTCTGTGTGGGTCGTTGGGCTAGTATTTGTGTCTGGGTAGGGTTGGAAAATGTCTGATAGGTGGTTGCCAAATAAATTTGCTTTTTTCGCTGTCGGTTATGGCTAAAGTGTTGTTAGGATTTGTTAAGGGGGGGATTAAAACTTTTTTTTTGGTTTTGTTTTTTATTGATTTCCATAAGGACCCATTGGAAAGTGTGAGTGATGACAAAAATGAGTGGAATTGATTGTTTTTGAAGGTTTGCAGCTCCTTTTTAAATTTCTTTGTAAGTTTATTAAATTCGTGTTTGTGATCTGGGTAATGTGTTTGTTGCCAAATTTATCTTGCTTGGCGTTTTTTGATAATTAATTCTTTTAATTCTTGGGGCAAATAAGTATATCGGTGTGGTTTTATTGGTATATTTGGATTTGGTGGTGAAGAGATAGTCTGTTATCGCTTCTTGGATGGTTGTAATAAGGAATTGTGAAGCGTTATCTATGTCATCAAGAGACTTTAATCAGATATTTAAAGAAATGTGTTTGTCTAATTTTTTTGAAATAATTTGAGAAATTTATTTGTCCAGGGTGAAGAGTGTTGTTAATGTTTTCTGGTTTGCCACCTAGTTGGAGCAGAATTGGGGAGTAGTCACTGGGCAGTTCTTCGAAGTTTTTTATACTATTATTTAAGTGGTTTGGTAGTGAGGTTATGAAGAAATCAAGCATGTCTGGGTGACGATTTGTATGGGATGGCCAGTAGGTAGGGGCATCAGGTGAAATGTAGGAAAGGTGATTGTTTAAAATTGTGTTATAAAAATTTTGGCCTCTGGGGTTAGTTGTTCTACATCCAAATGCAGTATGCTTTGCATTAACGACTCACTCTATATGTAATAAATTTTCATCTTCCATGATTATTGTGTCAACAGCACTGGACCAATTTTCACTTGGTATTTTTACCAGCCACAAATCTGCAAATTGGTGATGCACATACACGGGTACTTCGATGCCAGCCCTCAATAACAGATCTTTATCTGTCAAATATCGCACAGACGTTGTAAGGGCAAACAAAGACAAATCATCAAAGTTTTTCTGTTCATATGTAAATAAAAAAATATTAATATTTGGACAAAACAGCACAATAATGTATTGCCTCACTTGTAATTTGTGTATACATTTAATTATCACTTACTTTGATTTCTCGCTGAGACGCACCGCATTGTCCCTTGGTATGACAAAACTTGAGAATCTGCGTGCACAAATCATTCAGTCCAGTTGAGAGGTATTCAAGTTGTGGATTGAATGTTGGTCGACTGATAAACATAATGTCAACAATATTATAATATCATAGTAATAAAAACTATTTGGTTTGCATAATATCTAATTAAAATGAAGCACACACCGGAAAATGTGTTTCGCAACTAAATCAATTTCCTCTTCTATATT